TTTTTATGATATCAATATCAATTATGATATTTCAATATCTTTATAGCAGCAATATGTAAAGAAGGGAATCAGTTTATTTTCTTTTTTTAAAGATCACAACATCAACGTTTTTCTTTCACACAATTAAGCAAACTGTTATTGATGTTGGTATAAAAGATATAATTGTTTAATTCTTAGAGTAATATCATGCAAATTTTTAAAAAAGTTAAGAAAAGTTGGATTTCTGGACCAACATTAAAATAAAACAGTGTCGTGTTTGGAAAACTAAGTATCTGTTAGGATATAAAGCCAAGCAGGCAGGGCCTGCTTAATAATATTTCAAGGAGAAACTACCTCAATGCTTTAGAAAGGGATTTATAGAATAGTGTTCAAAATATTCAAGTCTGTCCCTGAACAGAAGGCAAATTCAGTTTACAGCTGGAAAACATTTAGGTCATTACAGTCTTATTAGGTGTGCAGATTCAACTCAAGGTCAGAGAGTGACAGCAATGCTAAAAAAAATTATAAGGAAAGTGAGAGTGCCTTTTTAGACTATTTTCCTTAGAAAGCTTAAAGCAGAGATATTGAACTGCAATGCAGAGAGCCATTTTTATGCATATCAGCATTAAGACCTTATACCAAATAGCACAGAGGTAGAAGGTTAAAGCTGTTTCCTTTACTTCTGCAGATTAGAGTAACTTTGAGTCACTGCAAAGACCCTGAGCTCCTCTGTACACCAAAACATTCTCAAAATCAGTGTGAGGGTCATTGGCCTCGAATGGCCCATAAAGAATCAACAACAGGACAATGAACCCAGTAACCGCAGCATGTCTACCACAGAAAGGCTGTTAAAAAAGAATCAAGGAGTTGAAATGGTCCAAAAGAGACACAACAAAATCCCTACTTAAAGGGTCCAGAAGAGGCGGTTCTACAAGCTCTTCAGTCATGGGTTGTTCTTAATTATTCCACAGCAGAGCATGTGAACGGAGCGCCGCACAATTCCCGCTCCCCGGTCAGGAGGATGTTCGCTCATTCGCTCCGCCGCTCAAAGCTTTCCCAGGACGCTCCGCTCAAAATCCGCTCCACGTTCACTCAAATTTTAGGAGAAGGTATTTTCTGACATTTTTCCTTCATGTAATGATGCCAGGGCCCTGGGACACACGTTGATTCAATGATGGGACCGATACATGTGTATTGTCTTATTTAAATTACCGCACTGTTTCCAAGCTGTGAACGTAACACCTCGCTCCATTCATGTTGCCCCACTTTTCCTATTTAATTATTAATTTATTTTACTAGACTGCATTAAAAAAGGTGACTTTGCATCCCATTGCTAATGAGATAATAGCGTATATGGCATGTATGCGATCCATTTTCAAAAACAGACCCTTAGCACAACGATCACTTTGTGTAAACCCACTCTGTATTAAGTATAGTATAGTATACTTAATAGTATACTTAGTATAGTTTTTATGACATTTTATCCTACTTTTTATCACACTTAAATCAAATAAATGCTATTTTACAAATTTTCATAATCCAACATTTTTAATTGACATTGTGAGCGCATCAGAGCGAATATTTCTTCCGCTCCGCTCCACCGCTCGCTTCACTCACATGCTCTCGTTCCACATACAGATTCTTTCTTTTGGTTTAATCTAGAATGACTTTATGCATCTGTACTTTCACTGCTTTTTTCTTTCAAAAACAGACTTTTAACACAGAAAGAATCATTTTGGTTTCCTACCTCGAGAACATTCTTCTTGCTGGATTTTTCCTTTGGGGCCCAGTCCACCGAACCCCCCTTGAGATCCACAGTGAACTCTGGTTTGGACTGACTGCCTCCAAACTGCAGAAGAAAAAGATAAAAGATACACTTTTGAACAGCTGGATTTCTCACAATGCTACCGTGTGTGTAAAGGAGAAGAAAAGATGTTCTGCATAATTTGCATATTTAAAGCTCTGAGTCAATGTTCTTGCTGTCAGAATTAGTTTTTCACAACCGAGAAACAACAAAACAATTATTTGAATACAGGCCCAGCAGGAAGCGGGCCTCCAAACATGGCCCCCAGTAAACACGTCATTATAAAGATGTACTTCAATCACAGGCTTCTGATTGATTGATGCTTTTTGGAAAACTGTGGTTTTGTTTTGATAATAAGAACAGTAAAAATAACAGCATTTAAACTGTTCATGTTTATTTGAACAAAACTCTGAGTTGATTGCTGCTTGATGTTGAAAAGGTTTCACACATTCAGCTAAGCATTCCAGATTTTGTTAAAACCTGAGGTGTGGGATTGGAGTCTATCAGCAGCAAACATAAGATGAGAGACGGATCTGGGACAGATCCGCAGTCCATCACGGTGACATATGATGAATAATCATGCATGTGTGCACTCAAAGGTAAGGACAATTTAGAGCAACCAACTCAACAATTTGGTTTTTGAACTGTGGAAGGAAGGTAGACAGGCTTTTAGCCAGCAATGTGTACGGGCGTACATTTTATGCCGTTTACTAAAAAATTACAAATTCTACACCTTGTTTTTGAGTTGTACAGCTTTTGTATGCCCCAATTTTCCCCTGGAAACTTACATTTTCAAAATTTCACAAGCTGCATTTCTGCTGCTAGATGCGACACATCAACTAATCAGAGAAGCTGATCTGGGAGCTGGCAGGGAGACAGACACAACACTGCTGATGCAGATTCATATGATTCCAATTGCCTGAAACAGTTTATTAACGCCTAAATTAAATTACAATGTTGAAACCTGCAGGCAAAATATGTTAACTTTTATTATTCTGGTAATTGCAGTTTGTGCCATATACAAACTCCATGAACAGTAGGAGAAAATCCCCATGAGGTGAAATGGTTTGAGGCAGCTGTTGCTGGGAATTCCCAGTGACAGCGCACCGGTAGTATGTGGTGGTCTGTGTGGCTCCTAGAGCGAAATAATATTTTAAGGCAGGACCGTAATCTTGATGAACTGACTGCATAGACAATGTTTAGATGCGGACTTTCTCGCTTAAAAATATATTAAAACTACTTTTTACACATTTATCACAGCGAATGTAGCAAAGCCGCTCTCTGGCATTGAACACATGAGCATCAGACGCATCTCTACACAAGCGNACAAGAAAATGTGCACCAAATATTTTACTTTTGAATAATCAGTTTTTTGTTGTTTCAAACAAAAAAATTATAATAAACTTTACAAAAACATAAATTAGAAGCCTCAAAATGATATGGAGATAAATACCCTTGGTGACCAGAGCTGGATGCATTTCTAAATCTGTCTCAGCAGTCTCAACCAGAGGTCACGGATTAGCGGACTGCGGCCCGGATCCGGACCAAACTGCTGGCTAACCCAACCTGATTTAAAACATTTATAAATTATCACATGTTGTCCAACGGCAGTGTCTAACTTCACTTGCACCGCTTCTCCTGTTAATACGGTAAAGCCCTCCAGAGCGTCCGGCACCAGGCTACACGTGATACAAATTAGCCAATGAGCTGCTGTCAGTCTGGGTTGCTGCTGCTGCTACTTTTAGACACAGCAGGCAAACCTGTAGCAAGTCAGGCAATGGGAAAGAAGGAGAAGATGATGAGAAAAAGAGAGCAGAGAAAGTGTGGACTGCTGGAAGAACTGCGGTGAACTGATGACAGAAAAGTGAAATGGTGCTCAAAGATGACTCTGCACATTTAGAGAATGTTTGGCTCAACCTGCTGCTGTGAAGCAGGATTCTCCACCATGAACAGAATCAAAAATAAATATGGATCCAGGCTCAAAATGAGCTCCTTGATATGCGCTTTAGACAGAGGTGTCAAGTAACAAATACTTCTTTACTGTACTTAAGTAAATTTGTAGGTATCTATTCTTTACCCCATTACTTAATTTTCTTCCTACTTCTGACTTTTACTCATTACATTTTCACACAAGTATCTGTACTTTCTATTCCTTACATTTCAAAAACAATCGTTACTCTTGGCTTCGGTTTAATGCAGAGGTCACGGATTAGTGGACTACGCCGCCTCTCCTTTTACCGTGCAATCCCACATCCTCCGTCATTGCTCCGCCCAGCAGCGCTCCAGACCCCCTGACCAAAGCAACGCCTACAGCCTCCACTGTTCCACTGCTGCGTTCCGACTTATCCTCCGTTCTTGAGGAGAGCATGTGCGATATTATCATCAAATTTGTAGGAACAAAACATGCAGAAATGAACACTTAATTTAATATGACATATAAAAAAAACTCCCCATCAGCATCCAGCATATGTGCGGTTTCTGATAGAGATGATAAATCTGCTTCCTGGTCTGTTGAAGTACCAATAGTTTGCATCCAATCTTTTAAATAAACGGTGTTAGTTTTTTGAAAAATATAAGAGAATTATGCTCTAATTTATAATTATTATCCATCTGTTNCTTTTAAATAAACGGTGTTTGTTTTTTGGAAAATATAAGAGAATTATGCTTTAATTTGTAATTATTATCGATCTGTTGTTACTATATTTTAATTTGACCGGATCTTCTCGCCGTTCTTTCTCTGTTTGGTGCGATTGCAATATCGGATCTAGACCCGCCGGACCGGAGCGCAGCCTGAACATTTAGAGGATATTTGGCTCAACCTGCTGCTGTGAAGAACGATTCTCCACCATGAACAGAATGAAAATAAATATGGATCCAGGTTGATGCATAAAAACCTCATTTTAAGTTAGTGTTAAATTCTGTTTAAAGTAACAGATTATAATAAAAAATGTCTCCAGACCTTTACTGGTTGTTGATTTTCTTAATTCGGACCCCACTGATTTTTAATTGGTTACCCCTGGTCTAAATTGTTTTCATTGATGACAGTTTATAGCAAACTCAATAACAAAGCCTCATGAGGTGATAAACATAGGAAAGCCAAAATTTAACACCAAAACAAAAGTCAGAACAAAACCCGGATACAGATTTTATCATCTAATGATAAAAAAACAACATAAACACAGGGTTTACAGCGCAGAGAGAGAATGAAGTGTGAAACCTTGGATGTATCCTTTGTCTCTGACGTTCTGCAGGGTGGGTCGGCGGGCCAGGAACTTCTTCAGCTTGTGCCGAGTCTTCTTGTTGTCTGTAGCCTCCACGCTAGCCGAGGGCTTCATGGCTGAGGAGGAGAAATGTGAAAAGGTAGTCACCGCCCGCCGCAGCACATTAGTCGCCATGGCTGAGTGTTTCTGTCGAACGGACACTGATAAGCAGCTGTTTTATAAAGCATGCGTCTGGCTAAATGAGTCCATGAGGTGCTGCTGGACTTTGTGCTTTCGTTTCTGATCCTTTAAAGCTTGTTTACGGTCCAAACCGTGTCAGAGGAATCATGCTCAAATGTTTTAGACTTTTTATGCCACACTTTTCCTGCATTGGTGCTCTAACCTTTGTCTTTCTTGGAGAGCCTTTGGTCTTTCTCCTTGTCCTGCTTCTCTGCACCAGGTGACTCGGGCATGTCCTCCTCAATGGCCTCATCGGACTCACAGGCCTAAAACATACAAGCAGAAAGGAGGAAATGAGATAAGGCAGGTTGTAAAGGTTCCTCTGTTTGTTCTATGGTCTCTCTGAAGGGGAAATCGGCAAGTTTAAGCTAATTTCACATCAGTCAAATGTTGTAAACGAAGGGTTTCCGACCTTAATGTAAGTTTTTAAGGCTTACGTTCTCTGATGTTATCAAGTTCAGTTCACAGCAGGAAACTGAGAGTAACATTGTTGACATGGACAAAATCTGGACTGAAATTGGGATTGGAATGTTTTGATAATAAGAACAGATAATGAATGGATATTGCTGTAGGTAAACAGAATAAAACAGATGATCAGATGAAAAATGTGTAATTTAAAGATGCCTATTGGAATATTTTTGATGGAATCTAGCTACAAAAAGTGTAAATGTGTCATGTTGACATTGGGCTTAGAGGTTAGTTTGCCTCATTCAGAATAACTTGATCCTGTCAAGCTTCAACATTTATGCTGATCAGATTCTCAACAACCATTTAATTCCCATCCTGCTGAAACTGATCACATTAATCCATCTGGCATGTTTAGAGGACACATTCTTGGTCCGATCTGCCATTTATTTTTATTGCCTATGCCAGTGTAAATGTAGTTACTGTAGTTACTCCATGGGAACAAGTACTTTAGTTGGGGTGGGGGGAGGGTAAAGACTCGGTCCTCACATATGCACTGATGGAGTCCTGCAGAGCCTTTAGCCACTCATTCACCACGCTGTCAGTTTCAGACCACAGGAGCAGCTCCGTGCCATGGCGGATCTTCAGCTGCGGGCGGAAGAAAGGGTAAAAAAAGAAACATTAAAAAAATGTTGTTATACATTTTAAGCCAACTTAAAAAAAAATCTAACATGAGAATATTTCTGTTCAGCTTAAAAAAAAAAATAATCTCTACTTTTTCTGGGAAAAAAAAAAATTTTCTTTTGAAACAGTAAAACAGGAAAAGTTTGTTATATTTCGAGCTGCTCCTTCCTAAGATGAATCTCAATGGACAAGAAAATAATGGAAATATTTATACAATTCATCTATTTAATTAATAAAATCTCTTATATTTTCAGTTTTTATTACTGATAATTTTGATAATTTTTGCCTAAACTATTAGAAAAAAACACATATTAATGTCTGAATATTAGCATACAACATAAAACTCCTAAAAACGATATAGCTGTTTGCATAAATAACTGCATCTATTGGGATTAACATGGAGTTGATAGGCCTGAAGCTCTGGTCTTTGTATTATTCGTATTCTCGGTTCTGATATTGATGCTTTCAGCAGTGTGGAAAATCCTGCTGTAGAGTTCAGCAAAATCAATTTCCAAATGAAAAACATCATTAGTTCTCATCTGCAATCAGGACTTTGGAGCAGCGAGTCTAATTAGATGCTTTCAGGAGGAATTTAATGATAGGAATGTGACAGAAGAAGCACTGTATGTGTGGACACCTTTTCCTACCACATTTTGTTTTCCTTCCACTTAACTTTCCATTGATATGCTTTAATATACATCACAATGACAGCCAGCTTCTTCAGTAATGGCTTGTTTCCATGAGGAGGCATCCATTACTGACTGTTGGTTTATTAGCAGTTTTTTCAGTGATTGTGCAAATCAAACATAACATTTTTGTGTCAAAAATCATTATTTTTTAATGCTATCGGCTTATACTTTACATTACTCTTTAAGTGAATTTCATATTAATGAAAATAATCAGAAATAAACACTTAAAACATTTCACTTTGTAAATTAAATCTATAAGAGTTTCCCTTTTGGAACAGCATTACCGAAAAAAAAACAACAACTAATTTTTATGATATCAATATCAATTATGATATTTCAATATCTTTATAGCAGCAATATGTAAAGAAGGGAATCAGTTTATTTTCTTTTTTTAAAGATCACAACATCAACGTTTTTCTTTCACACAATTAAGCAAACTGTTATTGATGTTGGTATAAAAGATATAATTGTTTAATTCTTAGAGTAATATCATGCAAATTTTTAAAAAAGTTAAGAAAAGTTGGATTTCTGGACCAACATTAAAATAAAACAGTGTCGTGTTTGGAAAACTAAGTATCTGTTAGGATATAAAGCCAAGCAGGCAGGGCCTGCTTAATAATATTTCAAGGAGAAACTACCTCAATGCTTTAGAAAGGGATTTATAGAATAGTGTTCAAAATATTCAAGTCTGTCCCTGAACAGAAGGCAAATTCAGTTTACAGCTGGAAAACATTTAGGTCATTACAGTCTTATTAGGTGTGCAGATTCAACTCAAGGTCAGAGAGTGACAGCAATGCTAAAAAAAATTATAAGGAAAGTGAGAGTGCCTTTTTAGACTATTTTCCTTAGAAAGCTTAAAGCAGAGATATTGAACTGCAATGCAGAGAGCCATTTTTATGCATATCAGCATTAAGACCTTATACCAAATAGCACAGAGGTAGAAGGTTAAAGCTGTTTCCTTTACTTCTGCAGATTAGAGTAACTTTGAGTCACTGCAAAGACCCTGAGCTCCTCTGTACACCAAAACATTCTCAAAATCAGTGTGAGGGTCATTGGCCTCGAATGGCCCATAAAGAATCAACAACAGGACAATGAACCCAGTAACCGCAGCATGTCTACCACAGAAAGGCTGTTAAAAAAGAATCAAGGAGTTGAAATGGTCCAAAAGAGACACAACAAAATCCCTACTTAGAGGGTCCAGAAGAGGCAGTTCTACAAGCTCTTCAGTCATGGGTTGTTCTTAATTATTCCACAGCAGAGCATTTGAACGGAGCGCCGCACAATTCCCGCTCCCCGGTCAGGAGGATGTTCGCTCATTCGCTCCGCCGCTCAAAGCTTTCCCAGGACGCTCCGCTCAAAATCCGCTCCACGTTCACTCAAATTTTAGGAGAAGGTATTTTCTGACATTTTTCCTTCATGTAATGATGCCAGGGCCCTGGGACACACGGCGTTCGATTTAATGATGGGACCGATACATGTGTATTGTCTTATTTAAATTACCGCACTGTTTCCAAGCTGTGAACGTAACACCTCGCTCCATTCATGTTGCCCCACTTTTCCTATTTAATTATTAATTTATTTTACTAGACTGCATTAAAAAAGGTGACTTTGCATCCCATTGCTAATGAGATAATAGCGTATATGGCATGTATGCGATCCATTTTCAAAAACAGACCCTTAGCACAACGATCACTTTGTGTAAACCCACTCTGTATTAAGTATAGTATAGTATACTTAATAGTATACTTAGTATAGTTTTTATGACATTTTATCCTACTTTTTATCACACTTAAATCAAATAAATGCTATTTTACAAATTTTCATAATCCAACATTTTTAATTGACATTGTGAGCGCATCAGAGCGAATATTTCTTCCGCTCCGCTCCACCGCTCGCTTCACTCACATGCTCTCGTTCCACATACAGATTCTTTCTTTTGGTTTAATCTAGAATGACTTCATGCATCTGTAGTTTCACTGCTTTTTTCTTTCAAAAACAGACTTTTAACACAGAAAGAATCATTTTGGTTTCCTACCTCGAGAACATTCTTCTTGCTGGATTTTTCCTTTGGGGCCCAGTCCACCGAACCCCCCTTGAGATCCACAGTGAACTCTGGTTTGGACTGACTGCCTCCAAACTGCAGAAGAAAAAGATAAAAGATACACTTTTGAACAGCTGGATTTCTCACAATGCTACCGTGTGTGTAAAGGAGAAGAAAAGATGTTCTGCATAATTTGCATATTTAAAGCTCTGAGTCAATGTTCTTGCTGTCAGAATTAGTTTTTCACAACCGAGAAACAACAAAACAATTATTTGAATACAGGCCCAGCAGGAAGCGGGCCTCCAAACATGGCCCCCAGTAAACACGTCATTATAAAGATGTACTTCAATCACAGGCTTCTGATTGATTGATGCTTTTTGGAAAACTGTGGTTTTGTTTTGATAATAAGAACAGTAAAAATAACAGCATTTAAACTGTTCATGTTTATTTGAACAAAACTCTGAGTTGATTGCTGCTTGATGTTGAAAAGGTTTCACACATTCAGCTAAGCATTCCAGATTTTGTTAAAACCTGAGGTGTGGGATTGGAGTCTATCAGCAGCAAACATAAGATGAGAGACGGATCTGGGACAGATCCGCAGTCCATCACGGTGACATATGATGAATAATCATGCATGTGTGCACTCAAAGGTAAGGACAATTTAGAGCAACCAACTCAACAATTTGGTTTTTGAACTGTGGAAGGAAGGTAGACAGGCTTTTAGCCAGCAATGTGTACGGGCGTACATTTTATGCCGTTTACTAAAAAATTACAAATTCTACACCTTGTTTTTGAGTTGTACAGCTTTTGTATGCCCCAATTTTCCCCTGGAAACTTACATTTTCAAAATTTCACAAGCTGCATTTCTGCTGCTAGATGCGACACATCAACTAATCAGAGAAGCTGATCTGGGAGCTGGCAGGGAGACAGACACAACACTGCTGATGCAGATTCATATGATTCCAATTGCCTGAAACAGTTTATTAACGCCTAAATTAAATTACAATGTTGAAACCTGCAGGCAAAATATGTTAACTTTTATTATTCTGGTAATTGCAGTTTGTGCCATATACAAACTCCACGAACAGTAGGAGAAAATCCCCATGAGGTGAAATGGTTTGAGGCAGCTGTTGCTGGGAATTCCCAGTGACAGCGCACCGTTAGTATGTGCTTGTCTGTGCAGCTCCTAGAGCGAAATAATATTTTAAGGCAGGACCGTAATCTCGATGAACTGACTGCATAGACAATGTTTAGATGCGGACTTTCTCGCTTAAAAATATATTAAAACTACTTTTTACACATTTATCACAGCGAATGTAGCAAAGCCGCTCTCTGGCATTGAACACAGCAGGAGCATCAGACGCATCTCTACACAAGCGCATCTGATCTTCATGTGTACAAGCTTAAAAAATGAAGCAGCAGAGGCTTTTTGCTGCTCAAATCGCAGTGTGAACGTAGCATTACACATTCTTGTTTGAATTAACCCATGAAACATGATACTGTGTCTGAAAATGATCTCATGTTGTCCTTATGAAATTTCCCCTCTAGTCAAGCACATGCAGTATACTTTCTATTATCAGGACAAAAATAGTGTTAGAATAAAGTCTAAAAATTAGGTGCCTTACACCAAAATTATGATTTTCTAGAGGAGGATGCCCTCGAACGCAAAGCCTAAAGATGTGATACACCAAGGGGTACACCCTATGAAATATTCCTGTCTAAAAGCCTGAAGGTAGAGTACCCAAGTTACCAAGGAAAAACCATGGATAGAAACGGACAACATGCAAACAACAGGTAGGAGGGGATCTGAAATTAGAGCCCTCTTTATAAGAACAATTAATTTAAGTCATACTAAAGTGCAAAAGTCTCTTTTTTTCTTTCGATTTTCCTTTAAAGCAACCTTTCTTTCTTTTAACTGTTCTGAAGGTAAAAGCACTGGTTTTATTTCTACTCTGATTGGTTAAGCAACTTAGCTCCAACTTGATGATTTATAAGGCCTAAAAAGTAGGCTTATTTAATCAAGGGCAACATGTTACATAATAACATAACGGTTGTTCTGTAGAGAGGTTTTCTAGTCAAAGGTTGATTTACAAAAGGCTGCAAATAAAAAGAACACAGACATAAAAGAAGGAAGCGTGTGGTCTGCAAAGATTCAGAAACTTTGCAATAATGTCTTTCAAAATGAATCTTTTGAGCACTTTTGAAGCTGTCAAACAATTAATTCTTCCTCTTTCCTTTTTTGAATTAATAGAAAAAAAATGATAAAACTGTTGAACGGAGAAAATAGCGATTAGCTAAAACCCAGTATCTCCCAGACTTTTTATTCCTGCTCATACAGGTGTTTTTTTCCTCCACAAGACCAGTTTTTTAAAGGTTCCTCAATGAATGAATTAACCATGTTGAACTGAACACTAAAAGCCCCCATAATGTCCTAATAATGTTGAAATCTAAGAACAAATAAAAACACATACCCAGCTTGACCCTCCTCCTTGCCCTTTGGCAAACAGCAGTGTTGAACCGTCCAGGACTGTCCATGAGGAAGTCCAGTTTTTCCTGCAAAATGTGCACAAAACTATACGTCAGGTTCACAGTGCAGAATTAAATCTCCCAGACGACAAAGATGCGAAAGAATTACAGTCGAAATATTAAAAAACTTTATTGAAAAAAAGCATTAGCACAATTCTCAAAACTTGAATGCTGCAGATAATTGTGAGTTGCAGCATAAAGTAAAAAGGAAACTATAATCCTGTAAGATCATCTGATCATTTGGAAAATGATTTCCATTCAGGATCTATTTGAGATCAAAGCCTAAAGGCCAAACAGATTCCCGTGGTTTGTGCTTAAAGGCAGTGCTACTCACCGAACTCTCTTCCCATTCTCTGTAATCTTCGTCACATTGAGAACACCGCACTTTTCAGACGACTGCAAAAGACAAGGAGCCGCGGCGCAAACGGTCAGAGAACAATTTAACCTTTTTTTTTTTTTTTACAAGCACATCACTCAGCATCAGACCTGATTGACACATGGAAGGAGGCAGAAAAAAACCTTTACAAACAACAAACAAACCAGTAAGCACCCAGCCACCAGAGCAACACCAGCACTCAGATTAGTCCAGGAACTACTTCAATAGGTTCATATATATTTGATTAACATGAATCAGCATAAATGGCTTTGCTAAAGTATTTGAACCATGACGTTTTAGTGATTTCACAACCTGCATGTATTTTACAGAGAATTTGTGTGACAGACACAAATCAATGCCTAATTATGGAAAAAATATATTTTATTTTTGAAAGTAAAAATATGAGCCGATTCCTTATTGAACTTCTTTCACTGCAATTACAGCTGCAACTCTTTAGCAGCTGGTCTCTATCTAAAAAAACGAATAACAGCCCAAGCTCGATCACATAGCATAGTCAAAGAATGAATGGCAGTTTTCGAGTGCTGTGGTGGATTCTCAGTAGGATTTAGGTTTAGAAAATCCCCTCCGAAATGAAATTGCTTTGATCTAAATCTCACTGATCCTTGGAATATTTTAGGTATTTCTCTGACATGTATGAATGGGTGCTTAAAGGGCTTTGGTAGCACCTGATGGCCAGATGAGGAGGTAATGCAATCGCTTGAACCAGCTGGAGCAAAGAAACATCTAAGACATGCATGACAAGGGGGCCTAAAAAAAAAAAAGACCAGCCTGAGCAACCACTGATCTAAACCATGTTTTGCAGCTCTGGCTGTAAGTCTGGCTGTAAGTCATCCTGCTGGAAGTCAAACCACTGTCCCAGTCTCAGGTTTGGACAGTTTTAGTTTTTTTTTTTGTCCAAGGACTTTCATGTTTATAGATCCATCCTAGGCCTGGACAATATAGAAAAAAAAAGATGAAAAAAATGCTTATCTCTCAGATCTTCTCAGGTTCATTTCAGTCTATGGTAGGGCTCGGATGTGCGACTTGATCATAGGTCCGATGTTGTGGTGTAGTGAGACACAGATTGCAGCTTATTGTGCAATCATTTCCTGCACTCATTGTACAAATTAGGGAGCGCTGAGCTAGAGTAAAACTTGCAGCACAGAACTTCGTATAGCGGATCAAGAGTGGCGAGCAGCTGTTTGAAGCCAGGTTTCTCAACTGCAGACAATGGCAGCATATGCATCACTATGAAGCATGTTACAGCATGAGTGATGTCCTTATGCTGCTTGGTCACTGGTGTATTTATCACAAAGCAGGAATCCTAGTTTAGCTTGCTTTTCCTGCTTTGTTTTGGCAGAAATTCGAAAGGATTCCTTCGACGACGTGGAACCGCGCCGGAGCCGACACAGCTCCTGCTCCATTGGGTGCGAGCGGCTTAGATGATAAAACAAGTTGGTTGTGGTACCAGACTTTGTTTTTACTGGTTCCCTGCTTATTTTACAAATCACTGTGTTTTTTTTTTTCTTTTTCTGACTTGCTATAACTGAAATATTGCCAAAATGACGAAATACAAAAACCCTTCTTCGGGGCAAATTCCTCCGCCTCTGCTTGTTGTGATATCTTTGCATGATCTGTGTTGTGGTTATAGAGCAGAGGTCATGGATTAGCAGACCCACCTGCTGGCTAATCCGGACCCAACCTGATTAAAAACATTTATAAATTACTACATGTTGTCTAACGACAGAGTCTAATTTCACTTGCACCGCTTCTCCTGTTTGTACGGTAAAGCCCTCCAGACCACCCGGCATCAGGCTACACGTGTTACAAATTAGCCATGAGCTGCTGTCAGTCTGGGTTGCTGCTGCTGCTACTTTAAGACACATGCTTAAATATGAGCCTGCACATTTTGAGTATGTTTGGCTCTCCACCATGAACAGAATCAAAAATAAATATGGATCCAGGCTCAGAATGAGCTCCTTGATATGTGCTTTAGAATGGCTTTGTCTCCATTCAAACCCAGGTTTAAAGCCTTGCAGGGCAGCATAAAGCCCAATGTTCTCATTAAAACAGAAAAAAGAAAGAAAAACAAACAAGGGGCCTTCAGGTGATTGATAGGGAGGAAGGGGTGACTGTAACATAAACCTAAATTATAGGCTAGAAATGAAAAAGGAATGAAAACTGCATTTCTATATGTCGAAATTTTATCGACCCATTTTTATTTTTTTTCCCCCGTGCCACACATATATCAGTCGATATATAATGTTATTGAATTATCTCCAGCCCTAATCCATCCATCCTTGCCACCAACTCTGGCCAAAATCCCTGTTAAAGAGTGGCAAGCCCACAGCATAATGCTGCCACCACTATATTTCACTGCTTGTATGGAGGGTTCAGGTTTAGGATGTGTAACCAGTCGTTTTCCTGGCGACAGATCCCCTGACTTTACGTCACTATTTTTGAGTTTTATTCTAAGGTTTTCTGTTTTCTTTATCTTCACAAGTGTTTGCTACTTTGCAATGGTCTATCACACAAAATCCCAATAAAATAGGATAAAGCTTGTTTAACCAACACCGTTCAGATTTTTTAGTCATCATCCCATCATGCAATATAAATAAAATTAAGGTCAAACAGTTCCTACACAGGCTGTCCAGTTTAGCATGTCTGCTCTGTGTCTTTAAGCCCTAATGATCAAGATTGTTTTAATCTTCCCAGATGTTTCCAGGAACTTCATCCCTGTGTAGGAACCTTGCAAAAAGCCGAAACACATTTCACCGCTAAGGCCCCTTAAAGCAGCACTGCAGCCCATGAGGTTAGTGGCGAGTACTGACAGAGCCGGGAGACTTGGGTGACGTTGGGCTCAAGTCATAGTCAGGAGGGGGAGACTTGGGAGTCTGAGGAGCTTCCTAGTAAACAAACATGGGTAGAAAACAAAACACAGACAAGCAGTTTCACATAGTTTAGACAAGAGCTGGTTAATGAGAAGATAATGTGAGTTTAAGTAGACGGAGGCGACTGAAAAGATGGTAATTAGGAGTTAGATTATAAAACATTAAAGCGTGTGAAGTAAAATTATCAATAAAGATGGTCATGCCAAAGTCGCATTCAGAGAAAACTTACAACGTTCCCAATTGTTATTTTATCCCAATCCAAAGATAAAATCTCAAGGTGTCTTTATCAAAGTAGCTAAATTGAGTGTTTATCACAGTAGAAGAGGTCAAATCATCACTTTAGTTGTGGGATCATCTTCATGCAAGCTGATTGTGTGTTTAGACAGAGCTTTGTTTTCCTGTGGGAAAACAGGACTACTGACTTGATGTTTGTATGGGTGCTGGCGGAGAGAACCTGAGCGGACCCGCCTGCTTTTAAAGAGCCGCTGCAAAGGAACAAGTCTACAGCTAAGATCATGGGCTTAAGCATCATTAAGTTACAGCTGCATTTTATTCTACGCAGCATTTTTTCGGTTAAAACTTTGCAAGCGCAGACCTTTTCACTCGGCTCCTGGACGTAGGCGCTGTGTCTCCACTTTGTCAGGACGATGGGCTCCGCGTTCTTCCTGTCCAAACTGCGACTTTTTGGTCCGTCGCTCGGTTGAGGTGGCGAGAGGTACTGCAAAAGGGGAAAAAAAAAAAACAGAAAAAATGAATTAAAAGATAAAACCGAGGCGAGGACGTTTGAACAGAATGCTCAATATGCTGCTCACAGAGACTATACAACTAACTAAACTAACTAAAAAATATATCCACAGGGATCAATCCCTGAATATTTAAGCTAAAAGTCGGATGTATCAATCAATGGCAGAAAAGAAAAGAAAAACTGCCATCTATTGATTAAATTTCTAAATTTTTTCTGAACATCTGGAGCCTAAAATACGAAGAATCAGGTACATGCAGAAATAAAAAGCAGCGAAATGGTAATTCAGCATTCATGGAATGAGGCAATTTTTGATCTTTTTTGTCAGTAGGACTTTAAAAATGTAAACTTTTGGTCATCCTGCAAATACAAACTTCTTTAAAAATTGACTTTTACTATAAAAAAAAAACAATTGCACCCTGTAGGATTATCATTCAATCTCTAGGAGGGCTGTTCAGCAGCACAGTGGGTAGCACTGCTGCCTTGCACCAAGACGGTTCCAGGTTTGATTCCCGGCCTGGAGTCCTTCTGCATGGAGTTTGCATGTTCTCCCAGAGCATGCGTGGGTTCTCTCAGGGTACTCCTGCTTCCTCCCACAGTCAAAAAAACATGACTGTTAGGTTAATTGGCTTCTCTAATTGTCCTTGGATGTGAGTGTGTGCGTGAATGATAGTTTGTCCTATTTGTCTCTGTGTTGCCCTGCGATGGACTGGCGACCTGTCCAGGGTGGACCCCGCCTCTCGCCCGTAGACAGCACCCCTCACGACCTCAGCAGGGATAATCATGATGGAGGATGGATGGATTAATTAGGAAATTAAAATATGAAATGATTGATATTTCTAATAATTCATAGTTAAAAGGCAAAGTTAAAACTCAGGAGTCACTTTGTCTTTTGCATTTTATATTTCTTATCTTTTTATTTCTACTAAGACCCTTTTTTTGGGTGGGGGGGGGGGGGATTTTTGTTTTTGACTGCTTCACAGTCTTACCTTGGGCAGCTCCCATTCTGACCTGGAGCCGTCAGCGCTGTAGTAATAAGGTCTTCCCTGGTCATCAACATGTTTTAACCACTACCGCAAACAGCAAAGAAAAGAAATGTATTGTTTCACTTTGTAACATTTGGCTCAGAAATTGAAAAAGATTTTATTAGCGAATTTTCCATGTTGCAGAACCAGAGTGCAGACAAAGTATCACATTGAAAGAGGAAAATAATAATCTGTATAAACTAGGTCCACCATGCTGAACCAAACACAACAGCAAAGATGCAGCAGCTCGGCTCTGAGCGGTTGGTACCTTCTCGTTAGTATAGTCGCTGACGTACAGCGTGTGCCCGTGTTCGTCCATCTCCTGTGACCAGCCGCGCAGAGGCGAGCCATACTGGCTGTCTGACTGGCTACAGTAGGCACTGAAGCAGGCGTCCTCTGAGGACAGAGGCTGGAGTCCTCCGACGGACAGCGACAGGAAGGGAAGGAAAGATGGCGAGAGCGAGAGAGGAGTTGTCTATCATTAAAGGAAAGGGAGAAAACCAGAGAGAATCTTTCACCATAGAGAGACAGGAGACATGGAGATATTTCCCAGAAAAACCCCACCACCATTAAGACCCTGCAGAGACCCAGAGAGCAGAAAATCACAAGTGTTTCTGATTGATGTTGCAGAAAGAGGTGCAAGTCTGAGGAATCAGACAAAGTTAATGCTTAGGGCCTGTAGGTGGCAGTCTGGTGCAGCCATTTAATGAATCATCGAATCAAGGGATGCAAACTTAGGTGAAGGAAACATCACTTATTTGATCCTAATCACAGACAGACAGCGCTGATGAGCTGCACTCAGCTCATTAAAGGAAAAACTGCAGTCTAATTTAAGATCAGCACATTTGCTGCATACTATTTAGTCTGCTGCAAGTTTTTAAACGAACTGTCAAAAAAACAAAACCTTCATCCAGACAGAATTATCAGACAGAGCTGACGGCTACTGTTCAAAAGCAAATGGATCTGGATTTCCTTCTAATTTGACTTTAGGTCTAATTTGAAGTAAAATTGGAAAGTATTCGTAACCATCATGCTCACATTTTAATAGGTTTGGACTACATACTTTACAAGACGTCAGACTGAGGATGACCAGGTGTGCAAATATGTCTCAAATCGGCCGTGAACGCCTCGTTACTTTAAATAAATTATTTAATAGTCTACAGATTATTTCGCCCTGAGAAAAATTAACCTGTTCATGTTTAGCTCATTAAAGAAAAAGATAAGCGTTTCCAGAGAGGAAGCGATCCCTGCTCTCAACCAAACATTCCCAAGTTAATGGTAAAAGCAAACAAGTAACCATGGAAACTGTAATCAATATATCAAACCAAAATAACAACCTGTTCTTTTTTCCTAAATGCTTCCTCTTTGGTTTACACCAGAATTGCTGATTTTAAGGCTTCCTCCCTTTAACTAAAAGCTTCACCCTTAGCCTGCCACAAATTTTGACTCATTTAAGATTTATTGCAATAAAGCAGCTGTTTTTTGGGATTTAATAAAAGCCGTCTAAATCAAATGTACCCCAGATTTTCCTGCAGGTCTTTCAAAGTCATTCTTTTTCAGATCATTCTCAAATTACCGTTTTAGCAGTTGTTTAAATTATTTTAGTTTGACCTGCGATTATTTAACAAAGAAACAAGTTAAAGTCAAATCTAATGAGAAACAAGGATTGGCTGCATGAATCCGCTCAAACCATTTGAATTACAGCATTACTGGAACTGGTGGAACTTGGGCTGAAGTCCAGCAATCAGTATAATCTGAGTGGATTTCAACAAAGATTGTTATTTTTTTAATTTAACAGCTCCATTTTCTTCCTAGGTTGATTGGTCATAATCAAGATGTGTGGCTATGCATCCTAAGCCAATATAAAACTGGGTTTTATCCATTTATAATAAGGGAAAATGATAAAGAAGCTCCCATTCAATCTGTCTTTAGAACCTTTAATGAGTGATAAGCGTATAGTTTTAGGCACCACTAAAACAGCTAAATTCATTTGTTACTACCATAGTTATTAAGTTAATACCACACCTCTTGATATTTCTAAAATGATGCAAACACATCCTGACCCATCCTGCTGTATCAGACAGAAGCTGAACGGTCAAACTTAAAACAGCTGTTCACATTGAGCCTTCCTGTTACCTGCTGAAACTCTTGCTCTTTTTTTGCCCACTTGGTCTGAACCAAATGCAAACAGAAAAAAAAAAAAACATTTAAAACGCTACTTATATTCCTGATCTTTATTTTAATTACCTCACTTGTATTGAAAATAGCTGACTGAGTCTTTTATTCCCTTCATTACTATCGTCCATTTCTGTTTGTCAGCATTACATGGAAGCTCTTCCAACTGGAGCAGAAAGGGATCAGTTTTTGGAGTTTTAAAATGCAAGCCAATTGCTCTTTATGAATCAAGCTGCTAATGTTGCCAATTCTGGTCACCAACTACTTTCCTAATTGAACGAAATTAGGAAGATTGAATGAAAATTGAAGGTAATTTCTAGTTGAAGGCATAAAACTGCAGTTTATCACAGAGCTTCAACTTTCACTTTTAGGTGTTGGAGATTTTTGCAAAACATAATTTCCGTTTCTTTAGATAAATATATAAACACACAGGAAACACATTGTAACTGAAAAAAAGTGACAGTGGTGTCGGATGGGAAAGCTTGCTGTTCAACTGAAGGGTTGCGGGTTCAAGCTCCGGCTCTAGCTTTCAGTGTTGCCATGTTCTTGGGAAAGATAATTTATTTGCATTAGTAGTCAGTCGAACCGGCTTCCTTCTGTCAGTGGGCAGCTGTGGCTACAATGTAGCTAGCCAACCCTAAATGTTTGGGTCAATGGTTGAATGACTGAATGTAGTGTAAAGCACTTTGGTCAAGTCTCCTTATTTTAGACTAAAGTCGTGATATACATCAGGCCTTCTTTAATTGTTTCCTAAGCATGTCAAGTTACCACATTTTTTTTAGCATAAACAGTAAAGGGTAGTCTGACTTTTTAGAAGCAAGACATCTGGGTGGTTTCTGACTTTTGCACATTGATTACTCAATGAAAACTGTTAGTGCCTGAATATTTTTCCTCAGCTTTTACTCATGCATCTTGTGTGCAGTGTTAGCATTCGTCCATTCCTATCTAATAATAGACCTTAGTGGGGAAGTTTTAAAACGCTGTTATGAATGCTCTAAATGGTAATAAAACCAGTTTGACTCAGTAAGAGGGAACATGAATTTAGCTTTCTTACACTTTTCCTTCAACTCTGTTACATCAAATTAAAGCCGCACAGGGAGCTGATAAAATATGATCTAATTTTTTCCAAAACTTCCCTTACAAGGCTGTATATACTAAATAATGGCACTAGCCTGTTTGGCTTTTTTTCCCCAAGCTTTACCTCAGAGCTCCCCCCAGTGCTGTGTCTGTCCTCCCTGGAGTTCCCGCTGCCAGCTTCTTTGGTCCTCGGGGGCTTCCAGGTTCTCTCATGGGTGGAGCGGTTGCAGTAGTAGTGTCTGCCGCTGTGGTCCTTGTAGGTCTCCCAGTCGCCGACTGAATGAATGGGTGAGCCAGACGGCACGGGGGGTAGACTTGTCTTGGTGATTTTCAGTTCCTGGAGGTTGGTGTAGACTGGAGATTCTGGGCGGCCTTGGCCTGAAGAAACAGTCTGTGAAACAGAAAACGCAACATTTAATCGATTATAGAAAAGTTCCTGGAAAGTGGAAGAGGTTTTTGTGATAAAGCCAACTAGCTTTATCACAAAACAAACATGCTGGTGAAGACTCTCAGTCATCCAGGTCATAGTCATTCCAAAATAGTAAAAAAACAAGTCTAGCTTTCTATAAATGTCAGCAAAATGTGATCTAATAAAAGAACTTAAAAGCAAAAAAAGTCAATTTCTTTAGCAATAAATGAACAACACAAACTCTTTAATACTCCAGTACAGAAACCAGTGCAACAAATCACCTTCAGAAGCCCAATAATTAGTCAACAGGGTCCTCCTTGTGTCTAATTTGGTTTCAGTGTGAATACTTCTGTGACGGTTTCAAAGGTTTGGTGGTAGCAGCATAATTTAGTCTAAGAGACTAAAGGCACAAGACAGGGAAGTATTTGTGGAGATGTTTAGTCTTTGGTTATAGAACAATATCAAGTTTAGAACATCTCACATTGAAAAGTTCAATCTGACATCTGCAATCGGATAAAGCAATGAAGGATAGCAGACATGTGATCAGAGACAAGAAGCGGACACATCCACAGCCCAGAAAAAGACAACGAAGGCTCAATGATGAGAGATAAGGGGAGACTGATGGATAAGAACGGTCTGTTCATTGCAGGACCCCCAACACTGACCCCCTCATTGTACCATGATGTGGCATCAAATTGGCCAGCAAAACTGAAAAAAAAAGACACTACTAAGCACAAACAAAGCCACCGTTGCTACAGATGATGGAGGTTTGGTTGCAAAACTTATTTAGTCTGACTATAAACAAACTTATTTAAATTTTGTGTGTATGTTTGTACAGATCTTTAGAAAATCTGGCTATTCACAGAGCTCTGTTGAAACCTTTGTTTACATGATGCAATCGTATAACCTTCACAGAGCTTCTTTGTCTACAGATGAGACTATCAAATAAAATGTCCCTCCATTCTACATCATGGTGCAATGAAGGAGGCATCAGTGGAGTATCTGAGCCTCTCTGATTCATAGGCACATAAGTAAACCAATCAAAACGTAGCACTCCACACAAACTAAAAAGGAAAGCAAGAGGAGCAACAAACAGAGGAGCAGTGGAGAATCCCCGAGCATGTAATTAGGAAGGATGTGATGAGAGGTGGATCAAATGCCACAAATTCTAGCCTTTATGGAAGAGTTATAAAAAGGAGGTCATTGTTGACAGAAAGCAATAATAGGGATAACATAAACTGCAGGAAACAAACAAAAGTGTGGTTAGATGAGAGGTGCAAAAAAAGGTAGGCTGTTTGTGTCGAATACACAATCCTCACAATTACGTCTGGCACAGGATGCATCATACTGGGGGGATGCTCACCTTCAACAACTACAGGGAAGTAAGTTAAAAAGTATTGTGGATAAGTACACTAATTTATTTTCATTCTAGAAAACTGCTATAAATTTCATCTTCCTACCACTTGGCAAATATGTCCCAATTTGAAAACTTTAGCAACACTTGAAGTACTTAGAAAACAAACTTTATTAGCAGATCGATGCATTTTTGCTTGTGGCTTTCTTCAAGGTCCAAAACACAAGAGGAAACATGATGGTTGAAGAGGAATAAACGCTTGCAATGTGTTACAAAAAAGAAAAAGAGAGGTAAAACAAAACCCCTCATATCTATGATAATCTCTCTTCTTTGATGCAGCAAACACTAACAGTTGGAAGTTTGTGTTGAAAGGATCACACTGAATCTAAATATGTTTGCAGGGCACCAGAATAATTTGTATTTCAAACTGATTTTGCTGCTGTTCCTCAGGCGGAAACAGATCACAGAATGGAATCCAATAAGGAGGAGGGGAAGAATGAAGCTGCTGTTATATAACTTGAAGTGCCGGAGTCCCATGTTAGGTACAAAAAGGGGAAGTAAAACTAAAGATGCATGCAGAACATTTCAAAAGACAGTTTGGACACATTGATCCCTACAGCTACAAATAGAAAAAAAAGACTCAAAAAAAAAGAACCTTTTCATTTGGTAGTCTGGGGACAGATTTTAAATTTCATGCATTCAGATCGAAGCTGCAGGTTATCATGAAACTCCCTGCAAAAATCAGTTTCACTCGCCAGTCCAAGCCCCCGATTACTTCAATGCAAAACATAAAAAAGGCAACTATTACCAAAGTGTAGGATATAAACTGAAATCCTAAGTTGTTTGTAAATTTATACAGAGCGAGGCTAGCTATTTGTCTTTTCCCCTTTTTTCATTAAATCAGGGGAACTTCAGCTACAGAAGTGACTGCAGACAGACAGAAACATTTCTTGCTGTCCTTTCAGGATTACAAAGATAGATATTATTTATGTTTCATATCCTGTTTTAAATTGAACTTGTACCAAAAACTGTCTGAGGAAACCTTCTAAATGAATAAAATGTTTCATAAATCCAGCTGGCTAAGCAAATAAACCCACAAAGTTGTAAGTGGTGGTAGGAATATCTACAGTAAAACCATGACACTCTGTGTTGTTTTTGACAGTCATCTTAGATTTAATCTTCAGAATTACTGGTTTTAGTCACATGTTAGTCATTACGATATGTGATAGTTTTAGTCGACTAAAACTTAAAAAGGTTTTAGTCTAGTTTTATGTTGCAAAAAAGGTTAACCTTTCCAATTAAAAAAAACAAACAGATTCTTTAGTAGACTGACAGCTCTAGCCTAGATACTAAAATCGCTGGAGATGCTGCCTTGGAGTTCATCATTGCTGTTGGGCAGAAAACTTTAATTTCTAGAATTCAAATAAACTTTTTACTGAATTATTGCCTTAATTTCACAATAGTTGTGACAATAGCTGATCTAGTTCAACACATTATATTGGTTAATATAGCAGACAGACAAGCTAACAAAATGTACAGTAAAGGAATGGTTTTAGACATACAAGGTTTCCATCCCAAAGCAAACACTTCCTGATCTACTATGAATTATGTCTTTAAGTGAATTAATCTTCATTGCTCCAAAAAAGCAAAGAATGAAAACATTTTCTTTCAACTTTGGCAATTTTGGCTTTATTTCTGAGAATTTCCCCTTGGTTACTGTTGCTAAGGGGTTAAAGCAGATCTAAATTCACAGGGTTTTGATATACCGTAAAAAAAAAAATACAAAGAGAAACTACATAATTGTCTTGTAATGCAATGACAATTCAGACTTAAATTGAATGAATATGCTAACTAAAATGTTAAAATATTTAAAGGAAACAGAGAAAATGTTTTAATGACAATTCTAGAAAACATTTCCATCATATCTGAATAGATAGAAACAAAAACTATGAGAAAGTACCTTTTCACCTGGCTCTTTATCCAAAAATAAACAGTATGAAATGAAATATTTGCTTTGGATATAATTTAGCGATTCCTTTTGTTAGAAATTAAGGAATGTTTAGTATAACATCTTGTGAGCTGGGAGAAAAATAATCTTGATAGTTAGAAAAAAGGGATTTTTTGTGTTTGGCAGAGGATGATCAGCCACATAGTTTATTAAGCAGCGAGAGCATGAAGAGCCATACTGCTGAGAGTGAACCATCCGTGTGGAGAATAAAGCGCAGACTCTGAGCTACACGCATGCAAAGATGCACTTCTGCACAAGCTCAGCTAGAAGAGCAAATTCCAGGTTATTTTCTCCCCTGCTGCTGCTGCCATGCTCCATCTGTAGTCATTTAGAATGTACACCGCTGCATGGCAGGTGGGCGGCCTGAGCAAACAGGACGCAGTACTACAGCTGATACTGCCTAACCTGCATTTTAAATGTCTGACCGACCGTCTGCTAACTTTTATTTAGTCTCGCCTCGTAGATGAAAATTCAAACCCATGACTCATCATGTTTTCGTCATCAAAGATCATAGTCATCTTTGACGAAAACACTGGCCAGACTTTAACCGAGAGTCTAGATTTCAACTATAAGCTTCTATAAATAATAAGCCAGGGGGAGATCATGAAGGTGGAGATGCAGCAAAATATGTTACTTAGAATCAGCAATTCAAATTCTCTGGTTTTGATAATAAATAGTTTGGGGAAACAAATGCTCAGTTAATAAATAGTATGAAGCAGTTTTATAAATCAATGAGTTAAACAAGGATTACCTGTTGTCGAAAAACAGACAAAAGCCTCATAAACAACAGATTATTTCAATGAGGGAGCCCTTATAAATAATATATAAACAATAGCAGCGCTTTGAGGTGCCCAAAAGCTGGACCCTGAGATGTTTTTATATCATGGAGATCAATTGAAATGAAATATGCAGGACCCGGACAAACAATCTGGTGATAAACAAGAGAAGGGCTAAGCGTGCCATTCAATGTATGACCTCAGGTTTATAATACACACACAGTATATAAGGGATGAACGATTTTGCCAAGAATCAAATTTTTTTATTTTTGTTATGTAACTAAAATGGCCATTGCAATGACATTTTTTGCAGTGAACATCCAGCATGTAGATGCTACTCTCCTTGAAATCTCCTTTGTCCAGAGTCTATGGTTGCATGACTTTAATGTTGGTGCATCTCTCTCTTCCCTCCTATGTGCTGACAAACCCACTCTAAGTGTATCACCCCCACCTAAAGGGCTGGAGTAAGAAAGGCAGCGTCTTACTGATTTAAATAGAATTTGACAAAATCTGAGCGTCTGAGATTTGAAAATTGCATTTATAATTGAAACATAATTAATAGTTAACCCTTACGCCATATAGATAAATATAATTAAACCAACAGAGCTGTTTTGTATAAATCAAGCAAAAACATTGATTACCTTTGGTTCTATTGGTGATATATCAGTAAACACATCATCCTCCTCTCTGTGTATTGAAATGGCTCGCAAAAGGCTTCTCCTGAAACGCATTGCTGCCATCAGTCCCTGCTTACTGTTTTGACTTCGTCTCAGGAAGTCACTCTCTCATCATGAAACCGTGATGACACTGTACTGATGTTTTCCTTTATAATTGCTGCGTGAGC